TGTACAATACCATATCTAAAACCTGTAATAATAATAAAAATGAGGCAAGGGAGAAAAAAAAACAGACCTATAAGGTTATGCTCGACTCTCTCAAGCCTACAGTAACATCAGAGCAAAATAACTGTGAAAAAAATTAAACTCAAATTGTTAATACTCAAAAAAAGTCACTTTAAGAAATATATCCTAAAACACAGAACAATAGAATCCTGAAGCAGACAAGCCAGTACCTCTAATCTATAAAAACGTGGTTACACTTTGGGTTCGGTGCAATAACCTAGCGACTAAACCCTTACCTTGTACACCCAGAATCCCATATGGGCACCGGTGTATGTCCTGGATGTTCCACTTCCCATTCAGTTCCCTGCTTGTGGCCTGGAAAAGCAGCGAGGATGGCCCAAAGCCTTTGGGCCTTGCACCTGGCTCCTGGCTTCAAATCTACTCAGCTCCAGCCATTGTGGCCACCTGGGGAGTGAATGAGCACTCCGAGATCATTCTCCTTGTATCGCCTTCTCTCTGCAGATCTACCTTCCCAATAAACATAAATAAATCTTTAAAAGAAATATATACACTTTGACCTTTTGGTCAAAATTAATACATATTAATTTTAATTCTTTATATTCTGAAGAAAAAGGCAAATCTGATTTCAAATCATTGCCACCCAGTATGAGATCTTAGATCCCTTGTGGGAGATGACATTAGGACTCTGCCAGCTACACATAGCATTTGTAAGAACCTAACTGAAAATTTTATATTTTCTTTCATGTAAGTCACACAAACTAAGTAGAACCATAAATTTCCTTTCTTTTGCTGTGAGTTTGCTAAGTACTAGATCACACAATGGTCCTTGATGACGTTACATTCTAAGACTGGAAATAGGACCACATGGCACCTTTCACCCTAGAGTCAACAGTCTTAATTCCCAGTCAGTGGGGAAGTGATGGTGGGCATTAGATCTGATCATAAGTTGACACCCAAAGCCATTGAGACAAAGAACTTGAGGGTGTGACACTCCTCACACAAAGAGTCAGGTAGCGTAGATGGGAACCTTTTGAGAACAGAGATGAGAATCTTCGGCCCAGTTCTTCTGACAGAAGTCAAGGGGTTCAGTGAAATACAGAGAACATTGAGTTTCTCCCCTGGAATGAAGTCAGCGATGTTTGTTCCTACAGCTGGGAAGATCTCTTCAGGCCCTAATAAGGATGAGATGATGAGCAGTAATTTTATATTTCACATTACATACTGTGCTTGAAGTGGATATTCCTGTCACAAGTCAGTGAGGATTAAAACGAGTGTTTTTCTGTCAGGCGGACAAGGCCTTGGCCCTGCTGCTCACACATGAAGGGTGAAGGGAAATACACACTGCCTGCCCTCATTTCCATTATAAAGTGGCAGCAAATGGATGAAGAGCACAGACTGTGGAGTCAGGAGGTGAGGGGTGGAATCTCACTTATGCCATTAAGATATTAGTAGCGCTGGGCACACATTGCTTACAATCTTCATGCACACGCTTCCCTCTCCGAAGGATGTAGATTACAGAGAGCGCACAAGATTACAAATTAGTGAATCCTTCCGCCCCAGCCCCATCCAGTTATTTACTTCAAGTTCCTACTCGGATTAGCTTGCTCAGTTCCTGCAAGCTTCAGTTTTTTCTCCCTCTCAATACATAATACCATATCCTTTCTAATCTGATAGACTGGCTTTGAGGTTATAAAATAATACAAGTAAAATAGCACCACCACAAAAAACCTTGTAAATTCCTAAGCAATTATGTTAATACAAATTTACTATCATATCATTGTAAGACATAGGCTCTTATTTTCGCAGAGGTTTAAACATTATTTCAGACCAAATATACAAAGAATCACTTTGTTGTTTTGTCTGCCAAAACATGAACTGGATTTCATTCTGGCTGTCACTTAACAGACCCCGCTGTATCCACCCACCATGCAGTGGCCATTCTGTCTGGGTGGTGCTCACTGGACCCATGCTATACTCCAGTTGATTCAAGGGTATAATTAGCCTTGAAGGTTCTTCCCCCTTAACTGTGAAAGACTCATAGAACCCTGAGAGCTGCTAGCAGCCATCAATCATATCACCGTGCAAGAACTAAGTTGGAACTGAGAAAAATTACAAAGCAAAAGAACCACTGTTCTGATGACATCCTGATACTCTGGATTACACTGTGCCTGAAGTTAGTGTCAGGGGCTTTTCCGTTGGGTGAAGCCATGTAATTTCTTCATTGAGTTTGTGTTGACTTTTCTGTTCTTGCAAGCAAAACAATCTTTTTTTTAATTTTTATTATTTTTTCATTGGAAAGGCGGATATACAAAGAGAGGAGAGACAGAGAGGAAGATCTTCCGTCCGATGATTCACTCCCCAAGTGAGCGCAACAGGTCGATACTATGCCAATCCGAAGCCAGGAGCCTCTTCCGGGTCTCCCACGCGGGTGCAGGTTCCCAAAGCTTTGGGCCGTCCTCGACTGCCTTCCCAGGCCACAGGCAGGGAGCTGGAAGGGAAGTGGGGCTGCCGGGATTAGAACCGGCACCCATATGGGATCCCGGGCGTGCAAGGCGAGGACCTTAACCACTTGCGCCACCGCGCTGGGCCCAAGCAAAACAATCTTAAGAAACATGCAAGGTGGGCTTGACATGATGCTTCAGTGGCTAGCTAAATCCTTACTTTACACACACCACACCAGGATCCCATACGGGCACTGGTTCATGCCTGGCTGCTCCGCTTCTCATCCAGCTCTCTGCTTGTGGCCTGGGGAAAGCAGTGAAGGACAGCCCAAAGCCCTGGGACCCCACACCAGCATGGGAAGCCTAGAAAAAGCTCCTGGCTTCAAATCAGCTCACCTCCAGCTGTTGCAGCCACTGGTGGAGTGAACCAACAGATGGAAAATCTTTCTGTCTATTTCTCCTCTCTGTAAATCTGCCTTTCCAATAAAAAGTCAATAAAGCTTAAAAAAAAAAAAAGATGAAGAAGAAGAAAAAAAAGGAAACAAATACATCTGGTAGCACTGATCAACTTTCATTACCCCTCCATACTTCAGCTTCCTAACCTGTATTAGGGGATAGTATATTATCTATCATATAGAGGGTTGCAGTAGGATTCAACAGCACTTGTAAAACATTTAGCTTGATACAAAGGAAATATTCAATAAGTAGCAGAATGCTAACAACTTTGGAGTGCTAGACTTGTTACCAAATGTTTTCACACATCATTTCACTTAATCATCATGTCAGTCAATGAGGATTTATTGGCCCTGTTGTACAGCTGAAGAATTGTAGACTAGAAACTAAGTGACTTGTCCAAGGTCCTGGCTACCCAATGACACAGATCACAAAGTATGACTGCATCTCCTTTTAAAACAGAGAACATCTTGTGACTAGATGATTGCTGCTTAGTGAACATTGCTGATAAAATACTAGTTGAATGTCACTCTTAGGTATAGGGTGCTAGTTGAATGTCTTACAGGATATCCAGAATATTGTGCATTAGAGCAGTAAATACATACACATATACAGGGACAGTGTGCAGTTAGAGAAACCTAGCTCTCCTTTTCACTGGTGAGAGACACTGGAAAAATTAACCTCTCCACACCTATTCCTTACCAGTAAACAACAGAACCTACTTTGTAGTGTTGTCAGGTAAAAGCAAATATAGGACTAAGTTCATACGGGATATTAGACCCAGTACAATAGCCTAGTGGTTAAAGTCCTCACCTTGCACACACCAGGATCCCATATGCACGTTGGTTCTAATCCCGGCAGCCCCAATTCCCATCCAGTTCCCTGCATGTGGCCTGGGAAGGCAGTTGAGGATGCCAAAGTCTCCAGAAGAAGCTCTTGGCTCCTGGCTTCGGATTGGCTTAGCTCCAGCTGTCACAGCCACTTGGGGAATAATTCAGTGGACAGAAGATCTTCCTTTTCCAATAAAAATACATCAAATCTTTTTTTAAAAAAAGGTTTTTTCCTCAGTAAGAAAATATTTAGTGCGCATTTAAAAAATAATATTCCCATTAGGAACGGTATTAAAATATCATTAGCCTTCACCAGTTTTGGAGTACAGACAACATTATGTAAGTAATAAGTCACACTTTAAAACACTTCTTTAGAGGTCAGCATTGTTGCACGGTGAGTTAAACTGCTGCCTGACATGCCGGCATCATCTACTTCATCTTCTAGCTGTTTAACTTGGGATTCAGCTCCCGGCTATTGCACCTGGAAAAACTGCAGAAGACGGCCAGTGTTTGGGATGTCTGGGCCCCTGCCATCCATATGGGAGACTCAGATGGAGAACCTGGCTCTTGGCTTCAGCCTGGTCCAGACCTGCTTGCCGCTGCCATTTGGCAAGTGAATCAGAGCATGAAGATCTTTGTCTCTTTCTCTCTCTCTAGAATAAGCAAATAAATAAATCTTTTTTAAAAAGAAGAAATTATTTGTTCTCATGTCACTATGTTGCATTACTACCTTCTGATTATTCCTGGGACCGTGTCCTACACTTCTTCCCTTGACTCCTCCTATAGCTCCCTTGTTGATGTATGCTGCTAAGATCAACAACTTAGAGGAAGTTCCTTGCCCCTTCTTCCCCCGGTGGCAAGTTCAATGAGAACAGAGCAGGCATTTTCTCTAAGTCCAGAAGTTCCCAAATTATAACACCATAAGGATTCAAAATGAACTTCTGTTAAGACATAGTGCATTAGAAACACACATGTCTGCAGAGTGATGACCCTTCCCGGCCACCATTTCCTGAACAGGACTTGTGCCTCTGTGTGAAGACGGCTTCTTCAGCTTCCTTCTGTGCTCCTTCCCCTTGTCAGCCAGCCACAGGTGAGCAGAAAGTCCTTGATCCCAAGGACCCCTTTCCCACCATGCAAACCATCCCCTGCACGAGATACCTTCAGCCTGTTGCCATGCCAGCCTGACACTGAAATCCATTCTGATTTATGATTTCTCACATACCAGCAGTTTGTCCTTCAAATCAAAATCAAACATGAGTAAAATGTATAATAAAAATTTATTCCCTTGACATTTCCTCACTTCAGGTATTCTAAAATAGATTAAAATATACAGTTCATAAAAAATAAACACTTCTTAGAATTTAGATACTATCTATAATATGCATGATTTGACTGGATAATTTTTTTGTCATTGCAGACATCATTTTTCAAAAGTACCATAAAAATGATAAGGGTTGCTACATTCTTCATATATTCTGTGTCTCATAAATTTTAATTCAGCTATTAGTTCTTTTCTCAACTATGTAACTTAACGGTATTTGCTCTTGTTTTTGAAAGGGAAGAGGATCCATTTTCTGTTTCTTAACAGTGATGTTTTGGGCTTCTTTCTCTGATTCTTCAAGGAAATGCTTCATGCTGAGTTTGAACAGTAACCGGGGGTCTGGTCCAGAGAGTGGTGGGCAATTACACATTTCCCTAATTTTGAGAGCCTATAAAGAAAAAATATAAGATAGATTACATGTTTTATACTGTAACTTGATGGAAAACAATTGAACATGAGAACATATTCTGTATTCTTCATTAGAGGTATCCTCATTATGACACATAAAAGAGAATCAAATACAAATTTGTGGTAAATAGTCACTTTCCATAATTTATTCAAATAGTATTTATCAAATAACAGCAGCAACAATAGTATCTGCAACAATGGTCTTTCAAATGGGCTGTCTCAGATGTTCTATCAGTTCAGTCAAGAAGCTCTGAGAACAACCACTGAGATTAAAAAATATTTTAAGACTCTGAGTTTGTCTCCAGAAAAATAAAAAACAAACAACAGATGTTCAAATATACTGAAGAAAGATACACCTAACTCGGACAATCTAGGTTAGAACTGATGCCAATAACCTCAAAAATCTCAGACACAATGGAATTGTACTATAAACTGCAAAATGAAAAAAAAAAGTTAAATAAATAAATAAATATCACGGTAAGTTTCAAACCCAGGAAAAACAAAATGCAAAAAAGAAAAGAAAAGAAAAGAAAAGAAAAGAAAAGAAAAGAAAAGAAAAGAAAAGAAAAGAAAAGAAAAGAAAAGAAAAGAAAAGAAAAGAAAAGGAAAACAGCCACAGCACAGCTTGGGTATAACTAGTGTTTAAAGTTTAAAATACCAAACCTTACTGTAACCCAAATCTCAGTTTAATTACATTGACAGAGGGAGAACAGGAGCTGTATATGCATGTAAGAGTGTGACAGGAATAAGACAGAGCTTACGTCTCACTGTCTGCAGTGAAAAGTAAGAAAGAAAAGACCCATGGGAAATAACAAAAATAAAATAAATAAACAAAAAGTCATGATGTTGGAAACAGTTATCAGCAAAATTCAGGTCAGGAAAAACAGAGCAGGTACATGTTATTTTACAAAACTAACCTTATAGAACTACTTAACTGTTGAAAGTGAGTACCTGGACAACTATAAAGATACAAAAACTAAAGTAATTTCTAAGGAAAGCATCTCAGTATGTAGGGGTTTTTAAAAGACACATTTGCAGGCTGGCATGGTGGTATAGCACACTAATCCTCTATGCAGAGCCATTACTCCACTTTGAATCCAGCTCCCTGTTTATGGCCTGGGAAAGCAGTAGAGGATGGCTGAAGTCCTTGATCTCCCACATCCACGTGGGAGACTCAAAAAAGTTGACTTTTAGCTTTTGATCTGCTCAGCTCTGCCATGGCAGCCAGTTGGGCAGTGAACAAGCAGATGGAAAAATCTGTCACTCCTTCTCTCGCTGTAAACCCTACCTTTCAAATAAAACCAAATAAATTGTGAAAAAATAAAGAGAAAACTCTTAGGAAGAGGCTAATTTTCTTTTTTTTAGGACATCACATTAATTGTTTAATGGTGATGTGTCTTAAAAGGGGAGTAAATACGACAGGAAAGAAGATACTCAGGGTTTGGAGAAGTGAGACATTTTAGAAAGATTAGACGGGCAAAATGTCGTTGAGAAGATAAATAAAACAAAGACACTGGAGTACAAAATACTTGAACAGACCAAGCTGCAACCTAGGGAAGAGGATTCTATGGGGGAGCAGCGACTGAGAAGGGGACGGGAGCACACCTGGTGTGCTAGGGACGGTGAGCTATGCTGGGGCTGCTAAGCAGAGGGGGCTGGCAGGAGAAAACTGGGTGGGGTTTTAAGACCATGAAAAGGATCTGGGGTTAATTCTGGATGGGTCTGAGGCTAGAATGTCAATGCAGACGCAGGCACTACATGTCTAAACATCTCAAAAGCTCATGTAACTTAATCCCTATTTCTCTATTACTAGACATTTGAATTGCATCCACAGTTCTGTTGTTCAGCTTTTATAAATTACTTTGCTATGAAAATCTGTGTTTAAAAATTATTTTTGTAACTTCTACTTGTATTTATTTGAACTATAACTCCCAAAATAGAATCACAGAATAGAAAGAGTAAGAACATACCACAATTTTTGTTATTTAATATTCTACCTGAAAGATTTTATGAACTTTAAAGGCAAAGGAGAGGGGAGGGGAAGAGAGAGAAGAGAGGGGAAAAGAGGGGAGGGACGGGGAGGGGAGGGGAGAGAAGGAGCAACATAGGCATACTTGATTAGAACAACACATGATTTTATGGTGTTTAATCTACATAATTGCATAATCTCAAACCTTAGAACAAGATTTTATAGGTGAAGAAAATAAGCCTTAAAGAAATTAAACGGCTGGCAGAGAACAAAAAGCTGGCTTGGTAATTGTTTATAACAGCTTTATCTGCCAAAATATGGACATAACCAAGATGTCCTTCAGTAGGTGAGTGCCAAACAACAGAATATTAATTATATTTAAAAGGAAATGAGCCACCAAGTGATGAAAAACATGGAGAAACCCTAAATGCTAATATATTGCTAAGCTGAAACAAAAAAGCTGATCTGAAAAGGCAGCAGCATTTCAACTATATGACATTCTGGACAAAGCAAAACCATTGGGACAGTGAAGATTATGGTTGCCAGGGAATGTAGGCGGGGAGGACTAAGTAGGCACAGAGTATTTTCATATATTTATTTGCGAGGCAGAGACATAGAAGGAGAGACAGAGGGGAAAGACATGAGGTAGGGGAGATGGAGAACGAAGGGAAAAGTCAGGGGGCTGGGGAGAAGGAAAGAGATGAAAAAGAGGAAAGGGAGACAGTTTATCACACATTTGTCAAAACTCAAAGATCATGGGCCCAGCACAATAGCCTAGAAGCTAAATCCTCGCCTTGTATGCACCAGGATCCCATATGGGTGCCAGTTTGTGTCCCAGCTACTCCATTTCCTAACCAACTCCCTGCCTGTGGCCTGGGAGGGCAGTGGAGGATGGCCCCAAAGTCTTGGGACCCTGTACCCATGAGGGAGACCCAGAAGAAGCTCCTGCCTCCTGGCTTTGGATCAGCTCAGTTTCAGCCATTGCAGTCACTTGCAGAATGAACCAATAAATGGAAGATCTTTGTCTCACCTTCTCTCTGTAAATATGCCTTTTCAATAAAATAAATCTTAAAAAAAAAAAACTTAAGGATTATGTAAGACCACGAATGATCCCTCACCTATGAATATGGGGAATACACAGGGAAAAGGGGAGGGAAAAATCTTGTCTGCTTCTTCACATCCCAAATGCCTGTGATGGCCAAGGCTGGGCATGCATTGTACCATCCAAGCAATGCAGGGCTTCTACATGAATAGCAGGAGTCCAATGACCGCGTCCACTGAGCTCTGACCCCCACCTGGGGCTCCGGTGGTAGGAAGCTGTCATCAGGAGCAAGGGCTGGGGTTCAACCCCAGGCACTCTGACATGGGACAGGGAGTTCTTTACCTTAACTGCTAACCAAACTCTTGCTCCCAAATTATTTTAGGGCAATGAAACTAATCTGCATGATACAATAATGGATATGTGTCATTATACATTTGTCAAAACTCATAAACTGTTTTAACACCATGAGAGAGTCCTAAATTAAGGATCTGGAGGATAATGATAGGGCAATGCAGTTCATCAACTGTAACAACTGCTACTGGGGTGCAGGATACTGATCACGGGAGATGCAATGCCTGCAGAGGGAGGGGCTGCAGAAAGTATATGGGAAATCTACATACATTCCTTTCAAATTTATTATGAACTTAACATAGTTTTAAAAATAGCATATTATGGGCCCGGTGCGGTGGCGCAAGTGGTTAAGATCCTCGCCTTGCACGCCTGGGATCCCATATGGGTGCCGGTTCTATCCCGGCAGCCCCGTTTCCCTTCCAGCTCCCTGCCTGTGGCCCAGGAAAGCAGTCGAGGACAGCCCAAAGCTTTGGGACCCTGCACCCACGTGGGAGACCCAGAAGAGGCTCCTGGCTTCGGATCGGCATAGCATCGGCCGTTGTGCTCACTTGGGGAGTGAATTATCGGATGGAAGATCTTCCTCTCTGTCTCTCCTCTCTGTATATCCGCCTTTCCAATAAAAAAATAATAATAATAAAAAAATCTTAAAAAAAATAGCATATTATATGGATCCGGCGCCATGGCCTAGCGGCTAAAGTCCTCGCCTCGAACGCACCAGGATCCAATATGGGCATCAGTTCTAATCCCACAGTCTCCACTTCCCATCCAGCTCCCTGCTTGTGGCCTAGGAAAGCAGTCGAGGATGGCCCAAAGCCTTGGGACCCTGCACCTGTGTGAGAGATCTAGAAGACGTTCCTGGCTTCTGGCTTTGAATCGGTGCAGCTCTGGCCATTGCGCTCACTTGGGGAGTGAATCATCGGATGGAGGATCTTCCTCTCTGTCTCTCCTCCTCTCTGTATATCTGCCTTTCCAATAAAAAAAAAAATCTTTTAAAAAATAGCATATTATATTTAAAAAATCCTGGTTTAGAAGAAAAAACCTAGGATAAAAAAACATTTGCGTTTAATGTTTTTACCTACTTTTAAAAATTTCATTTGAAAGGCAGAGAAACAGAAAGAGAAAAATATAGACTTCTATCTTCTGTTTCACTAGGGCTGGGTCAGGACAAACATGAGGTGCTTGGAACTCAACCCAGGTGTCCCAGTGAGAGGCGGGGCCTGAGTATTTCAGCAGTCATCTCCCGCCTGTCAGTGCATGGGTTAGCACAAAGCTGCACAGAAGGCAGAGGAGCGGGGACTTGAACCGGCATCCCAAACAGCATAAGCTGTGATAAGAGCCCAGCCCCTCAAGCCTTTTTTAACCACATGTTGTTTGAGTAAATTCTTTACTGGCCTTTTCTATACACTGAGCATATGAGTTACATTTCTTTGATTATTACAATGCACACACAAAGGATCCTCAAAAAGTTCATGAAAATGTGTATTATGAAAAAAAATCTGTGCATGGATTTCAAAATCTTCATGTAGTGTATATAAATATGCTATATGTAATATAGTATATAAATTAGTAACTGTATTCCCATAATCCTTTTAAGGTATCTTTTATTCTTTCTAATAGC